AATTATTTATAAGTTGTTTTTAACTTATAAGCCAGTAGATGACGTGTTTCTCTGTGCTTATAAGCTGCTTATAAGACAAAAATAAGTAGGTCTTAGTTACTTATTTTAAGTCAGTTTTTTCGTTTTTCTGTTTTAACTAGATTGCTTACAAGACTATCTCTCGCCTATTATGAACATCGATCATTTAAGTAATTTAATCTACATGATTGTTTTTAACTTATAAGCAACTTATAAGTTAAAAACTAATTATAAACAATACATCAATACACATGCACAGAGAAACACTCACATAATACTCACATAGTGGTAAAGTACAATGTCTTTGGCAACTTATGTTAATAAATTGGGAATGACATGGTTTTTCTTTTTGAAAAGAGGGAAAAAGTATGCCATATACTCTCTTCATGGAAAGAAAATGGAACATGAATATAATGGTCCAAATAGAAAAGAAGAATGAAATATTCACGTTAAGGAAAATGTTTGGTTTATAAAAAAAATAGTCACAAATCTCATAGAATTACTATTTGAGAACTTCAATAAAACAAATAAACTAGTTTAAAATAATTTTGAAATGATAATTTAAATCGTAAATGAAAAATTTGTGAACTTTGTGACTATTTTGTTTGTGAACATAGCATTGTTCTCACATCAATACTCATTAAAGTTTAGAACTCTAAAAAAACCTTCTATAATAACAAAAGTATTCCAAAATTCATTGTAAATATCTTTAGAATTATCTGAATAAATAATCCGTGTAGTCTTTCATAAATGGTTAAATAGTTTCAGCTCTATAATTTTCAAAATTACAAAATAGCCAATATGATCAAAGTATCATTTCAAAATAAGTCACTCCTTCGGGGAAAACGTGAAGCATGCAAAATGCGAGGATACTATACATGTGAAAATGTGAAATATGTAACAAAATAAACTTGCTAATCTGACAAAATTTCCTTATGTCTTTATGGCTCATTAAAATCAGGGAAGAGTTCCTTCTACCTCATATATCACTACACATTGCCCTAACATAAAACTACTTGAAAAATATTGTTCAATTGTACGTTCAAGAAGATCACAATGGAAGATATTACAAAGTTGTCTTGAGAGTTTAACCAAAAGATAGCTGATATTGTGTTACGGTTCAAGCTTACACACTACAATTAAAACTTCATATCAACTTTTTTATTGTTATATATTTTTACCTCTTCGCATAATACATGCGTATTCCACATTTTGTTTAAAAGAAAGACTAATTATAAAATTAAATAATTCTTTGATCACATGAACTATTTCACAATTTTTGAAATCTTGAAGATTATATATTTACCCACTTATAAAATACAACAAGAACTATTGATGCCTGAAAATGGAGTATTCATGTAAAAGAAAATTACTGATAAAACATTCTTATAAATCACTTAAATTCTAAATTTATCGGTGATCATTTTATATTCTTGAAATATTCGTCCATAAAATTCACAATTTTTGAATTTAGCATATATTTTTATAGATAACAAGAGTGAGTGAGTAGACCTGGCAAAAAGTGACCCGACCTGTTTTTGACCCGAAACCCGACCTGAAAACACTGGGTTTTGAACAAAGGTTTTGATGACCGAACCCGAAGTTGACCGAACCCGAAATGACCCGCTAAAAATGGGTCAAACCCGACCGAACCCGAACCCGACCTGACCGACCCGCTAGAGTAAGAATTTTTCAAAATTATACACTTTTTTACTCGTTTTTAGTGTATAAATTTATATTTTCAGACAAAA